CATCCGAATCATCATCCGAATCATCATCATCATCATCATCATCATCATCATCATCATCAATGGGAGCTGATGCGTATATGGCAGCCGGGATTGTACGTATCTTTTTAGTGTTTCCATGAATTTACTCTCATAAAATAAAACAATAAAGTTTGCCGACTACTCTAACGATACTCTAGATGTTTTCCTTGCTTCATATTCCACTCGACTGAATGGTTCGTTGGATAAAAAGAGCATAGCAATGAGCACCGCGTATCAGAATTTAAAAATAGAAAAAACATTATCAACGCCGGATACATAGGTCAGATTACGAGGTTCGGGACAAGTTTTGCTAAAGGAGATGTGACATGCATCCGTGATCTAACCCCATAACTGTGTGGTTTGCGTGTGTGAATGCGTGAACTCAAAATCGATGACCGATAGCTAAACGTTCCGGTAAAATAGGTTAGCTCAAGACACCGAGAAGCAAGAGAATACTTTCAAACTGCTATCAGGTTTGTGGTAGATCTGTCGCCTAATGTTCGGCATGTGTTTACAAACGGAATCCGACCAAAGATCGAATAAAGGTCGGGAATAAACTTTCAGCTCATGACAGAAACGAGGTGGAGGAACTTACGATCATTTTCGATCATTTTGTGTTCAGACCATCAAGGTCACAATCATGTATGGCAAATAACGCAATTAATGCAGTTCGCCATATCCGGGTGGAATGACGATTTGAACATTGCCTGAGGCACCGAAAGTAAGTAAGTGAGTTGTGAGAATTTTTGTCTGCGATTGCAAGTTTTCACACTCTCTCATTGACCGGGTTTTGGGTAAACGAACACTAGCACTTTTTTACTACAGCTAGTTTAAATGTTTGGCCTCAACTGGTTTGAAATTCATAGTCTGTTCTAAGATCGTTCATTTTGAAAATTTTGTGTAAATGATAATGTTTTAACTACGATTTCCGCGCTTTGTCAAGCCATTCCTGATAATGCAGCACGGTCAGTAATGAAGACTGTGTCTTGAAACCGTTACCTCCGGAAGAACTAAAGTCTCCAGAATCACAGCATAAAATCCAGTACGGGTGCTTGCAAAGTGCACTTGATGTGGTGTGAAATATCACCAAAGACCGCACACAGTTTGACTTGTAGTAGTTGTAGTAGTACGCACGGAATTTGGAACACGAGCCACGCAGTAGGAATCACCGGACACGAGTCGAGGATTAGCTGTCACGGACTGGATTACGGAAGCACTGGACCGCAATGGCACGAGCTCGCAATATCCCACGTGAACGACACGCGAGGTAAAGGCCATAGGAATAGTAGTACGTAGTTCGCTTATTGAAAGAAATGAGGGCGGTTAAATAATATGTGCAAAAGAGGATTATTGGTTATCTAGGCTTCCACCAATCGGATTGCAATACTGCCTGTATAATCTTGCTTCTGTCTGCCCTGTCTTGGATTGGCTGACACGATCTGCCTATGGTGTGTAGTCGGAAGCCGTACGCGTGTCACTGATGTCAGCATTCAAATTTGATTAATCGCATGTGTCCGAAAACTGTGGCGCACCGGTCCAGGGTAGGCGGCATCTCGTAGACCTGAATTACCACAGGGCAGCTATCCGAAGAAGAAAACAATTGCTGTACCCGGTGGTTACAGGAGCTAAAGGAGTTAAACCGTGTATCTATACCTCGTTGTTTAACACCTAAGGGATTCCGAAGGTTTTCTCTTCGTTAACTGGATGTCTTTTACGATTTAATGCTTATTCACATGCTCGACTGTATCAATCTTTTTTCTGCAGCTCTCGAAGTATAATTCGTTCCGTCACTTCAATGCTCAAAAACAGATGTTGTTATCTGTCACGCCAATCCATTTGTAATGAAAAACGTTTTACGCCATACAATGGTACACATGACATTATCGCACCACAGGGACCGTCGAGTATTTCAAATTTGCGTAGAAAATGTTTACGTACACAATGCAAAGATCAGTTACCCTGGAGTTGCATCTTGAGGAAGTGGTTTTTGCGAGGTACGCAGTTCACTGGTTCCTACCAACGTTCCTTGCATACCAGAAAAACGTGGTTCGGAAGCACAGATCAGATTGTTGACTCGGTCAACAGACTGAACATAGTTTATCAGAACTGGAACGGATTGGCGTTATTTCGACTGATTTTTAGACTGGATCTTGGATACATTTTATCCAATCCTGCTTTGATATCTCCCGTGCCACGTGGAAAGCACTTAAAGTGTCACCGGGCCATTTGGTGTACATGCAGGTTGTCTGTTCCGAGGGCACAAGTAAGAGGGTTCAATCACCGATTACGTGACGGCCCGAATCTTCAACTGCCCAACTGACCGAATGTCTTAAGTGTTCCCATAGCTATCCGACTAGGGAAAACACAGCACAATCAAGTGATAAATGGTGATCAGCCTACTCCCCTTGTATTGTTGCATATCAACCGAGATCCCATGTAATTAAGTCACTCATACGTATTGAGTGACATAGCAATTAGCAATTAAATGCGTTCAACACGAGCCGGTAGTGTGGGATATAAATATATAAAGCCTAAATGCAGGAGACTGAAACAGTTCAATAACGGGGGAAGATACCGTTTGTTTATTTTCTATTGCGAATTAACCTTTGCCTCGATACCAATACACGCACAGTTCAACCCCGTGATGATGATTGTGGTGGTGGTGATGATGATGTACCTCAAACCACAGGAAGTTCGGGGTTCCAAATAGCATACATATATAGCGCCACAAATTGGTTCGTTGAATCGCTGTGTCACATGCCAATTTTACGCTGTCATGTGATTTCCACTCCCACTGTATCGCACGTAACCTATGGGCAGATGATTGACTGGAAGACAGATAGAAAAATTGTTCAGTCCCATTCACCGGAAGTATCACATTCAAATTACCGGTGGATTTGGTTCGCCGGATTGTATTCATATTTTTCTGGCGTATAGGCAAGGAATTCCATTTGCCCGTCAGTTTTCCTATGCTGTTGAATGTAAATATGGAGAAAGGAGTAGTAGTACCGGTTTATATTGATTCAGAAAAACTTACAATCGGGTAGCTTGAATTCCAGTGTAGCTAGCCACTTTCGGTATACGTTTTACATCTTCAAAGTGTTAAATGTTGCTATAAGACCAGGTTGACCCAATGAATACAGCTATGTGGTGAAATAGGCACATTGCTTGATATCAACTGATAACGGTCCTTTCTGTCTATTTACCAACTTTCATCCGGTACTGTGATTTATTAGATCATGTTTTGTTGACGGTTAATGTTCCTGAAAATCTTCTAAAAAACAATAAGTTAAGTTTTTATGCAAAGGTATAGTTGTTTTACTTTACAAATTTGCGTCACTCGATAGGTGATCCAAATTGTAATTTGCAGTTTTGATTTCAAACGGTACGCAACCTCCACGCGTGGGTTCGAATCCTACCGAGGCTTCGGAAATTTTCACAATTCAAAACAGTTTTCATTTTGCAGATACCTATGGAAAAAATATTTTAACTCATGCGAAACAAAATAGCCTATCGATTCACGCTGCCTCCCCCCCCCCCNCTACTTACCCCGTCCCAAATTATATTTTTACAGAAAACGAAATCTTGGCAGTCGTGTGGGGAAATCATTCACGATCAGTCGAATACGTGTATCTAATAGCCCTTCGGATGAGGACGACGATGAGGACGACGAGGATGATTTAATCTCGGACGATGAGGACAATTTGAAACTGTGGTCTATTTCGTCCCAGGAGTCTAATCATTCAACCCCGGGACGAATTGAACGTGGTCCTCTCAGACTTGCTGGAACTAGTCAATCGGGTCAGGAATTCCGGAAGTCATGTGCTTCCCTGAATGACACCGAACTGACAATTCGCGGAACCGGGTTCGATCAGTCGGCCGAGGAGATGGATGATTTGTTGATCGATTACTCACTGAATACGACAGACACGGAAACCAGTGTAAATGACGACGATTATCGTGATGATCATGATCATGACGATCGAAGTAGAGACCATAAAGAGGACGCGGACGACTTTATTGATTTCTCGGATCTACCTTTGTCCGGTTCCCGGGCCTCAACACAAACTCATCTGACCGGGCACAATGGACGACATACGGCACTCCTGTCCAGCACGTAAGGCCCTGTGGTTGTTCTGGATATCCCCTCCCTCCCTTCCACACACACACACACACACACACACACACAAACACACACACAAACACAAACACAGACCCGGTTCAGTATTCTCACAAACTCTCCTCTTCTTCTTCTTCCAAAATCTCGTCTCTTCCTTCTCTTGTCTCACTGAAATTCGTGTACGACTGATTGATCTTCTGTTTGGCGCATTGCATGATTTTCTCTCCGATTCGGATTTGTGATTTGCTCCGAACAACTAATATAATTCACCGGTTTTAAAGTAATCTATTTATAAAACTCCCTTCTAACAAAAACAAAAACAGTAACTTGTCCTCTTTCCACATATTGGAACGGGCTAGAATAAGTGGTTCAAAGTTTACATTGCATTGTATTGCATTATATTGTATTAAAGTTATAGCGAGTTATGTGCAAGCTTTCAGCCAAAAAGTAGACCGTTACAATTCCGATAAAAACTGGGTGAAAGAAGTGGGACGTAAAATGTGCAAAAATACGAAATGGAAATAGAAAGCTGAGAACGAACCCCTTCCTCATCGAGCAGTATTCGAACAAGATATAATACCAAAGAATTTCTGTCGGCAGGTAGCCTAGGTGGGATGCATTTGCAACTGGAACAGGTGCAGAGGTGGGATTTGCGCACAGCACAATGTGTAGAGGATGGGTGCAATCAGNGATTCGGATTTGTGATTTGCTCCGAACAACTAATATAATTCACCGGTTTTAAAGTAATCTATTTATAAAACTCCCTTCTAACAAAAACAAAAACAGTAACTTGTCCTCTTTCCACATATTGGAACGGGCTAGAATAAGTGGCTCGAAGTTTACATTGTATTTTATTGTATTATATTGTATTGAAGCTTTAGCGAGTTATGTGTGCCAGCTTTCAGTCAAAAAGTAGACCACCGTTACAATTCCGGTAAAACAGAGGGAAAGAAATGGGACGTAAAATGTGCAAAAATATGAAATAAAAATAGAAAGCTGAGAACGAACCCGTTTCTCGTCGGTCATTATTCGAACAAGATCGAATATCAAAGAATTTTGGTCGGCAGATAGCCGAGGTGAGATGCATGTGTATTTGGAACGGGTAGAGAGGTGAGATTTGCATGCGCACAGCACAATGTGTACAGGATGGGTGCAATCAGATAGGATATTGTCAGTAAACTTCAAGCACGCATCAATATGAGCATTACACATATTGTCAATCAGATCAGATAACGGAACTTGGGAGATACGGCTAATCATTGAGAAGCCACACCTCAACAATTTGAAATCAGCCTTGAACAAACCATGGAAAATTACAGGAGAGCAGAACAAGGGTATAGGGAGGACACATTGTTGAACGAAAGCGTTTATTACCGACAAGTCAGAACAGAATAGGCGCAGTTTTCTTATCTGAAAAGAAACTTTTCAATTTGCGAGCAACACTTTGGGTATGTAAGGACCAGCGAAGGTTACTTTCAAGTGTGGCACCCAAGTACTTCACATGACTGACCCTGCTCGTCGGCTTTCCATGAACCTGGACATTGTCAGAGGGAGATGGGGTACGGTTTAGAGTGAAAATACATTCAAGGCATTTTTCAGGACTAAGATTAAGGCCGGAAAAAGTGGAATATGAAACGAGGTGGGATAGGTTTGTGCCATATTGAACCAGTTCTGATTGGTTAGATACGGAAACAGAAATGGCGATATCATCAGCATACTTGGAATGTCGAACAGGGGGAGAAATAGGTAAGTCACCGATATAGGTAGGAAAAAGTACACCTGAGCTATTGAGTGATGCGATTGACTGTCTTCTTATCAATTTAACATTCTGATATCTTTGCGTAAAGTAATCAGCAAGCCATTCAAGAAGGAACAGCCAAAAGATTCTAGCTTGTTTCGTAAAAGAGAACGGGGTACCAAGTCAAAAGTGGAGGAATAGTCAAGAATGGCACAATACACATATTTGGCTTTCTNGTGCAATCAGATAGGATATTGTCAGTAAACTTCAAGCACGCATCAATATGAGCATTACACATATTGTGAATCAGATCAGATAACGGAACTTGGGAGATACGGCTAA